GCACCGGATAATGCCATGATTGGCCGCTTTACGTCAGGCGTTTCTTTTAGTTTGTCCAGCCCTGTAATTAAATCCCATAGACATTTGTTAAAGGGCCTAAAAACTGCCCTTCTTTGGGAAGCTGTCACGAAATCATTTTTCGACGTAGAGGGATGATTCTGGCACCGTTGGATGCGTCAAAAAGTAAGCTTTAAGATGAGCCCAAAAAGTGGAAAATGCCAAAATTGAAAATTTTAGCCAGGTCGGTCCCCTTAAATAGTCAATATTTAGCTCATTACCTTGCTCCATCCGAACTTTACAATGCTAATGAATAGACTTATCAATAATTATTTACCCAAAAATCCTTAAGTGGCCATTATTGAAAATCCTTAAGTGGCCTGTTGGCCATTATTGAAGGCAATAAGTGCCCTTTTTAGCCATCCATTATGATCCATATACTGTTATTGTTAGTAGGCTAATTGCAACATAGAAAATAATACTTCAAAAAGACAAAAAAGCTGAAAAAATAAAAAAAAATACAAAAAATAATTGATTTTTGATTTTTTGATTTTTTTTAAATCAAAAAAACACCAACCCTGTTTTAAAGACAACACTTCTAAAAAATCCAGTGTCTCCAATGCTACCTGCACATGTACGATAAATTTATAATTTTATTATCAAATATTAAAAAATTATTTTTAAACTTGTATTAACCCTTTCGCGGGTAAGTTACCATATATGGTAATTAAAATGAGAGTAAAAAAAAGCCCCCCACATCACCCACATTGCTTGGGGCAGCCTGCCAACAAGCTCCAACCAATCACAGATCGTGTACAAGTTACGTCATGTATGACATAGTGCTCTGACACGCTCTTTTGTCTGTGTGAGCTAAATTAAAAACTAAGTACTCTGAAGAAATGGCAAAATGGCATTTTGGGCCCTCATCATATTCACTTTAGCAGCTCTAGCCCATGAAGAACTGTAGGAAAGGCCATGATAGTTGCTAGTATTATAGTTAAAAACTTGTTTTATAGACTGATTATGATGCCATTTACTTGAAGCAAATGCAAGATGGTGAAATATAATGGCGAAAATTAGTGTGATCATATATGAGCATACGCCCACCAATGCTTAGGGATGGAAGTGACTATGTTGGGTCATATGCCCGCCAATGGTAAATTTCTACAGCGCTTGGTAAATATGTTTGTTAGCATTTAGTGGTTAGCGGTATTATGACTTAAGCCATGTTTTTCAGTCTAACGTACCAATAGTTCAGCACTTTATGCTTTCCCTGACAGGCTGACTTTGACTGCATTCCAAGCTAATGGCATTCCCTTCCTTACAGAACATAGAGCCAACGCGGTTGCAAGCAAGATGGTCTCTGTACTGAACCAGACGATAACATGTCCTTCACCAATACTAATTATTACTGACAATTAATTCACAAGTTATAGGTATATGTTGTATATGAATGTGATTCTTTACATATGGCATGGATGTCTCATTATATGGATGGTCTGGAAATATCTTGCCATAAAATACTAAATGTATGTATAATTTTTAAACTTGATTGCTTCCTTTGTATGTGTTATAATACATGCATAAAAGAGCAATCAAGATGTTTTCCACCATCTAAATAGAAAACTTTCAATGTCAAAATCCAAAAATTTTTTATACCTTAAGCCAGCAAGGCCCCATATATGATCACTTCAATAATTGTGATTTACTACTTACATACAAAATTTTTCGAAAAATGTTTACGAGTAAATATATCTTAGAATTGGTCATACTTTTAAGTACAATCATCAAATATTGCAATTTCATCGTATTTCTATGTCCACCCGGGAAAGGGTCAATATTAAAAAAAATTTCAAAAGTACATTTTTTTAATATATGAATTTTTTCTTAAATTTTCAAAATTACAGTATTTATTCTGTCAATCGATTCAAGCATTGTCTCCAAATAAGTGTGCTAAAATTCAGATCAATTGGACAGGTAGAAGTATGTTAAATAGTGATTATAAGATTTATAGCAGACAAACAAACATCAAGAAGTGAAGTTAATGAGAAGTGTTGTAATAATAATATGCGCTTAAAAATTATTGGTGTTTTGAGAGTGACATAAACCAATCAGAACACGAGTTGCGCATACAGTGATCTATTTATAGCAATTTATTTCTTGCTACGTCCTTAAGGTGTTGAATATAGTGCATTTACCCTATCGCCACCTGGGGGCGGTGGATAGATCTGTGGGAGTGGGAGGACTCTGCAAAGATCTGTGTTTATCCTTTCTCTTTCAAAATTGCAGCATACTAAATAGTCAATATCAAGAAAGAGGCATTTGTTTTTATATGTCTGTAAGAGGGGGGGGGGGCTAGAGATTCACTGGGGTGCCAAGGGGAGCACCAGGCTGAAAAAGTTTGGGAACCACTGCTATTATGCTATAAATGATTCTTTTTCCAGCAAACTGTCAAAAAGTAAAAAATTCATAGCTTTTTCACTTCCATTTGTATGTACTCACTTGAATTTTCAAAATATTTTTCTAGATTTTTTACTTTTCAGATGCAGAATTTTTATTACTTACAACTTTACAAGTTAGGGTAAACGCGGTATATTCCGACACATTAAGGATGCATCAAGAAATGAAGAACTATAAAAAAATAACCGTGTGCGTTACTCAAGTTCTGTTTGCTTTATGTGCCTCGCAAAACACCGTACTATGCGCCAGCAACAATGAAACGTCACAAATTGTTACCATATTTATTTAAAAGCCTTTAGAATGCAACCCTTCCAAATCCCTATATTCCGACACTGTGTGTGGCAATATTCGGCACGTGGCAAGGCATATTACGCCCGCGCTTCAAATTCTACTGATATGTAATGCCGTCATCCACATGTTCAAATTCTGTTTGCTGTGTGAGCTGTATTGGAATACAACACGTGAACACGGCTTTGAATTAGAACACTAATAAATATTAAACACTACTTAATTACGCTTTAAATTAACAACTATTAAGCTTTTAATTAAGCAAATTTTAATTTTTTCATAGCTTGGAACGATCTGTGTGTGTTCAATTCAAGTGGTGACGGAATTAGTTTTCATGTGTCTAAATCCATTTCTCAACTCACTCATCTATTAATTTATTTACCACTTGAAATCAGCAAATACAAGTATACTTAAAGGATTCCTAATATATTCACAGACGTATTTAAAAGTCTCAAACCATAATATTCTTCCTATACAAACAGTTATTCACTATTTGGTAGAGCACGGTCAACTGTCAAATTTGACACATTTTTCGATGATCTCACTGGGAACTGGTAGCGTGCATTGTCTCTCTTTGGATCTCAATATTTTCCCGCAAGATGGCCGAGCCGCCGAGACCTAGTGTTTTGGCAGTAGTTCGACGCGCAAATGTATAATGTCACCATTTTAACCATCAACGAACGCATGGAACTAAAACAAAGCTTAATATAAAGGAAAAACTAGAGGTGACAGAATTACCCACAATGTCGGAATATACCACGTTTACCCTACAATCAAATAAATTTTTTTTTATTGTGTGCACAATATCTTATAGTCTTCTGTTTTGACCAATATCTTATACATAATAATGCTGATATCCATGATGCTTTGCTGGTCCAATGCTGGAAATGGAATATTGGTGACTGTGACTGGCTAGTATGGAATATATCTACTTGGCGAGCCGCGACTGAATTTTTCGAGCCGTGGTTTTATGGATTTGCCAGCCGTGATTCCATTTCTACGAGCCGTGATTCTATTTCACCGAGCCGTGAATTCTATATCTTGGCCATGAAAAGCCATTTACGAGGTGCGAATGCGAATTTATTTACAAAGTTTATGCACGTGTTATCCCAAATCTCTAATTTTACCCTTAAACAGTCAAACGGCAACAATAAAATTTGTCTCTACTGTAAGTTCAGCACGTGTTAATATACAGTCTGACCGCTTTGACATGACCGCAACTATGCGCGAGATTGCGGAAGTTGAAAATTTTATGAAATAACATGTTTGCGAAGTGCAAACCGCGATTTTTTAATCAAACAAAAATTTATGACATTCGAGCCACGAGATTTCATACCTACTGAAATTATATGATATTAGAGAAGCGATATTTCAGACAAAAATAGGACTTTTCCAGACTAGGTGACTGGTCTTAGTGGTCTACTTAGAAGACTCAAAATTGAACTCAAGATACTGAAGATAGAGTCTAATTTTATAAAAAGAAACTCACTGCTTTTCCACTATGAATTTAGTCTGTCTATGAATTCAAGAGATCACCTAATTGTGAAGTACAAAGACTATGACACATACTGACTGTAGGCTTAAGTTAACTGACATAGGCTAACTGATACTGGAAATCTGGATTCTGGAATCAAATGACAAATGCTAAGCTAAGAGACTGATACTAATACTATAAAGTGCACAGGGATCTTCTACAGACTTCCAAAGGCCATTAAGTTTGCAAACAGATCATAGTATTTTGATCAGTATCGAGTATTGACAAATGATAAGATTAGCTAGGCTGGCGGCTGGCCCATCAGCAGCACTGCAGCACCAGCTGACCAGCGGTTAGCTGCTTAGCTCGAAATCAATTTAGTTCATGCACTTCGTTCCTAGAGTTGACCTCAACATGACGAGTAGTTCGACTTCAAATCAACTGTTCCTCTAACCAAAAGCTAATAGATCAAGTATCTCTTGGATATATTTTTTTAATCATCTTGGCAACAGAAAAATATTTTAGACCGTGTTGCAGTGAAGAGCAAGTAATCGACAGAATCATTTATATACAGACTATATTGTAACCTTCGCGGGAGCATAGGAGTTACAAATATTATAAACGAAATTTTTGAAATTTATGATAGAATAGAAGTGTCGGCTTTGAAGAAATAGGCTCATGGCCTGTTGCCGATTCTTGAACTTTTCGTGACTTGATTCACAAGGGATCCGGCCTTTGGAACCCGGTCTTTCCATAACTGACGATTGATTGAGATAGCTGCTAGACTTATTGCCTGGTCCGTAATTTGCTAGGCATTTTAAGACTGAACATATGCTCCTGCATAGCTTCGTCTGGACTTATTGCCTGGGCCGTAATTTGCTAGGCATTTTAAGACTGAACATATGCTCCTGCATAGCTTCAGGTGCCTGTACACAGGGATAGTACTAGCCGCTAGTTCATCCGGCGCTTGAACTGTCCACGCTAGTAGTCTCGTGTATAGAGGTTCAGCCGCTTCAGAGGCATGCGCCGGCATGTGCCCGAGACGGAGAACGATGTGTTGATTTCCTCGCTGGAGAAGTGGCTAGTAGCACTGATTCAGCCATGGTGAAAGCAACTGTGCCGCTCTTGTGAGCAATGTGAGGTATCTTGGGTCAAGTGAATCATGGCTTGTTTGAACAATAATTGTTCTAAGAAGAACCCAACAAAGTGGATTCCAGAAGATATTCAATTATTCTTTGAAATATTCAAAAAATATAAATTAAAGTGAAATGTTTGCCATGACGGTTACTCCAACAAAATGAAGAGAGAAACGAGTATTATGAAACTGAAATAAGACCTTATTAGTCAGGGTTTGGTTTTTCCCGACGTTGCATTTTCAAGGGCTAGAATAAAGCAAATAAAAACGACGTATAGACACGAGTTGTTGAAGGTGATCCCACTATCCATCTTCACGGACTTAACTTGACGGCTTCTAACGACGCACTGGCGGGCACGAACGAGAAGATCGCGGCACCTTATACTCTCCTCGTGTACAGGCAGGCTTACTTGCCGGATCAGATCTACTACCGTAGCCGTCTGCACCTTTCTCATCTAGTCTGTTTTTGTATGCGTTCATACTCGGAGCGTCAACGATGCTATCAGGGAGGCACACTTTCATTTAATTTAAAACACTTTCAAACAGATTATTAAGACACAAGTAAGGATATTCAAGTCTGAATTTCAGAGCAAACTACAATACAGCTGTTTGAAGTTTTCACAAGTTTCTATAAAATATACGTAATTGTATAGAAACTCTTTAATTGCACAGAAATTGAAAAAAAACTAACAGTTTCATTAGGCAATAAGATGATCATGCGATTTTTGGTAACATTCGAGGAAAAACATATTGCCCCAGCCTGTTTTTAATGTTAAAAGATTCATTCAAAAATTCTTCCCAGGACTGCTCTAATTGAATTTAATTGCAAGATTTTCCGTAGGCGATTCAATTTCATAACATACGGCTCTCGAATTCAGCAAGATGCCGTTTATCAAGGTGAAACGCATTAGTTTGATGATCGAAAACTGGATTCTGAACTCGTTAAGACCGTTCCCACAGAAAAACTTGAGCCTCTGTCTGCGATCGCTTGAGCGGGTATTGGCTCACGCGTCTCAAGGAATACAAAAGTTTATTTCCATTTACTTTCTAACATATTAAAACTGTGACAAAAATGCTTACTTTAGCAGTCGTTATAATGAAAGACTGTTAATAGCAGCAAGAATCATTATCCGTCGGACGATTAAAAAATTGAAAGGTTTTGCCCTTAGTTGCAATTTAATAAGAATACAAACAAATAACACAGAATATATAAATATAAATTAGCATTAGATGGCAGAATTTTCTTATTGAAACACGTACGAATAATGACCAGAGAATGCTATCATATTCCAATTTGCAAGGAATCAAAACTCTTCAAATTACGTTAACAGATCGAGAAACAGGTCTCAGCAAGGATTTATAATATATTTAACGACGTTTCGAATGTATCAACATTCATTTTCAAGTCAATAAAAGCATTGAAGAATGAAATTTTGGTGGACCTTAATACATAATACATGTAAGTAAGATACTACAAGGAAATTTTAAACGGAAAATGACTCTGAAAACTATCTCAAAGTTCAGACAATTTCGGTAGTTTGGAAACAGATAGCTGGGATTGGCCAGTCATCGTCGGTCGGTTAATATTGGGCGCCACTGCATAAAGACAAATTAATTTCATTGCTTCTATTAATGGAAAATTAATTTAATTCTTCAATGCTTTTATTAACTTGAAAATGAATTTCGATACCTTGCTGAGACCTGCTTTTTGATCTGTTAACGTCATTTGAAGAGTTTTGATTCATTGCAAATTGGAATGTTATGCATTCTCTATCATTATTCGTACGTTTTCAATATATATATAAATATATGTTTTTTTTATTATGAAACCAATTTCCATGATTTCTCAAAACTAAGTGGAATGCCTTTGTAAAACAGTGGCAATCCTCATAATGTAAACATTCTACCGTTTACAAAGGCATTCCACTTAGTTTTAAGAAATTATAAAAATTGGTGGCACAATGTTTCAGAAAAGGAAGCTAATGACAAGCCAATTGACACCTAGGCTAATTTTATATGCTCGATTAGCTCCACATCGAACGTAACATTAAACATCACAAACAACGTCGACATGGCGACCAAACAAATGAATCTGAGGCGGTTTTTGAAAGCGTGATTATTGACAATATATGTGACAAGAAATACGTGGACGAGACTCCAATCACTAAATCAATGAAAAAACTACAAAGCAACGAGGCTAAGAGCAGCTCCAAAGACCTCCAAAGACCAGGTCTGATCATAGGAAGTTCATTAGAAAATGAATAAAAATAAGTAGGAGTAATTGAGAAGAGAAAAGCTGCAAACAATCGTATCTATCAATGACTAGTAGATGGTATGTGCCAGAGCTTTTATTATCAAAAGGTTGTCTCACACCCCGTGAAATTTCAAGTCCAGTAAATAACGGGCCACGAAAATGGAAGCTTGGGTTATAATTTTACAGTTTAAGCGTCCACTTGCGGTGTTCGGGCCTTTCGAAAATTTCAGATAGAATTATAGATTCGGCCACGAAAAGAAAAAAAACAGTTCGTTACCTACTTAAAATCATTCAATATGTCCACCTGAAGTTTTTAACTTAAGAGTTTAATCTTGCAAATAGCCAATAGGTTGCAATGGTTGGTAAACTTTTAGCAGAACTGATTATGAAGGTGAGCCCAAGAATTCTTTGATCAGCAAATATTACATTTTTTAGCTAAATCCTTGCCATTGAATATTTAGTTAACTAGTGTTAAGTGGTCTTGACATTCATGGTCCAGCTCCTTTGGCTGGTCTCTGCCCATTCTGTGCAGAATTGTGACAAATGCAGTTTATGACAAACTACACGCCAGTTTGTGGACATATACCTGTGCCAGTAATTGCCATCGTGAAAAGAATCTGCATCCGCATTTAGAGAGACAACAACAACCCATACACAGTCTCATTCAAAATTCAAACAGCAAAACTAAAGAATACTATGAATCATCTTTTATCGAGGTCAGGAGATGCTTCGAGTTCTCTATTGGTCTTCCAAGCAAGATATGTATTCCAGAAGAGGGCAAACGTTTGAACTACCAGCACTTGCAAATGAAGAGGCACGTACGAGAAGTTCACCACTTGCACAGCTGGCCAAACCTGCAAATCAGAGAGACAAAATAAATAATAACCAACAGAACAAAATGGTACGATAGTGTTGTCCTAATGACAAGCTCCTAACTAAAATAAATTTAGCCAAGATTTTCGTAAGCCCAAAACTTCAATGTTTTATGAAATTCATACTTGATTCATATTAACTAAAACAATGTTAGATAGCATTTTCAATAAATTCCATTGAACAATTAGAAGTAAAGACTGAAGGCTCAAATATTTCCAAGGAGGCCTCTGATCATGACGGCAAAGTTTCCCATATCAAGAATTCAAAATGAAATGAGACAATACTGTTATAATAAGAATTTTTAAAAATTTTTATCACTAACTAAAATCATTCTTCCATTCGGATATTATAAAAAGAAACCTACATATATTTTCTTTCTTTCATATTTGGGTCACTCTGATTCCTATAACACTAAAGTGATACATACATACATACCGTATCACATACTAGTTACCTATTACCGCAAGGAACAAAATCAGGGTTAAGAAGACAATAATTCTAATCAAAAAATTGCCAAATGTTCCGTGCCAAAGAGCTGTAACAGCAGCGCTATACGTTTGAGAGCATCAGCACAGTTCTTATGCAGAGAAGTTCACAATAAAAAATTTAAATAGGATAGAAAATCTGACCATGTAACCAGCTAGGACGATGTCAACATAATCTCTCTTGATCTGTTCTTTGATCTGCCCAAAGCTCTTTCTTTGAAGAACACCCAGAGATGTGAGGAACACAACAGTGAAGGTCGGAGCAAACAATGCTTGGTCCACCAATACTTTCTTGAACGCTCCTCTTCTGCCTTGAGCACCAAACCACCGGTCCAGATATCCATACCACACCTTCAGTGTGGGGCCCTGTGGTGCAAGCTGCCATTAATATAAAAAAACTAGCAGATTAATGCCTTGTCTGTGATCAATAATCTGTACAACAATAGAATCTGCCTATCCTGAATTCCATTACTATTAGCATACAATAACAAATTAGTAAAAATATACTTCTTATTAATGGTACCAGAAATGCTTAAAGTTGTCAACACATGAGTCAGCCAACTAGAGAGACCTATTCAAACCCACATTTTACATAGATCTCCCATTAGACTTTAGTGTCAAAATATGATAAAACTATTATGTGATTTTCAATTTAAATTTATACAGATCAATTTTATGTACAATAAGTGTCAAGCACTTAAACAAGGAGCAGCAACCTACTACTAAATATAATAGCTAACTTGAAAACATATAATATTTTATTCTCAAGGCCTTAGGCAGTGCACTGCAAACAGAATTAGTATAGGTAGCAAACAAAACTTTCTTCATGGGCACGATAATGTTTATGGTATTTCGCAATGTATTAAAAATTCTAAACAAGGGCACTAAAAAGTATTGCCAATGGTCTGGTAACAAGTTGTTAAATGTAACATGTATAAATATGATACAACTGCACTGAATGCACTCCAATACAACGTGCTTCAGAACTCAAGTTTGATATTAGGCTAGACCGTAGCTCAATGGAAACATAGTACAGACACTAAACCCTCAAAAAGTAACCTTACTCTATATAGGCTGGAAACTCAGAATTGTAAATACTTCAACTCAAAAACATAGAATTGGATTCTGTGCTAGCAAACAAAAAATTCAACAGAAACTGACAACCATGAATAGAATAACATTCAAAACAAGAATTTCAGTAAAAATCAGTAAAGGGGTGGGCAATATTAGCAAAGAATATGACCCACCACAATACAGGTGCCAAGGACAAAAAAACGTGCTGGACGAGCCCATTCAAACTGGTGTCCTGAGCGTCTCTCAATGCAAACTTGTGAAGTGATGTCACCCACTGCCATTAGACTCCCTGTGCCAAAAATATACATTATAAAAAATACAAAAGAGGCTGTATAATCAAGTTCCTGTGAGTTTGGTTATACCATGCAGACATTGGTACAGCAGTAACAGGGATATGGTTGGTTGAAGTCCTACATTGGCACACATACAATGAGGAACATATTTTATACAGTTTCCAATATGGTTATGGGTGCGTGTGTCAGACTATTAGGTATGGCATCAAAGGAAGTTGAATACAAATTTTTGCAAATTTGATCAATTAGCTAAATGTTGAATTTTAATCTTTAGTCCTCTAACACTAAGGTTGCTCTTTCATCAATGCCTCAAAGGCATTTAAAAATTTTTAACTTAGTTATAAAGCATAAACCAACAAACTGAGCTTCTGCTAAACATGTGCCTCACCATCAAACTATGTTGGAAGCATTCATTTACTCAACAAATAATAAGATATTGAGGCAGATATTTATAAAGAAAAGATTATACCATATTATGTTTAAACTCATAGGGGCAATTAGGCACTAACAAGAGGCTAAGCTGGCATATTAAAAACTCAATAAATTTTCATGTATATATATACCATAGTAAATCAAGATGAATTAACATACCCTTCTGTCATCATCAGCCAATTACAGATCATAACAGATGTTCAATAGACTAACCTGCTTGCAGTGATTGCACCAGTGTTGGATATCTCCTCACTAAAGACCCATAAAATTTGAAAATATTCATGGCTGACTTACAATAATTGTATAGGAGTTCTATAAACATAAATGCTGTACATAAAATTTAATAGTTAAGTTCAACACACTCTGAAAAATTCATCAATGTAAATATTAATATTCTCTATCAAGAAATTTTTTACAACTATGACAATATATTTTCAATATATTTCCACTTTAGAGCTCTTTTCATTTGAAAATTTCAACTTTTTCTGATAATCTCTATTTTTTTGGAGATATTGGGAGTTACCCAGGCAGATCTTTGACAGATCTAGGCTGAAGAGGTATTAATATCCAGACTATTACTGGAAGATGACAGACATTAACCCAAAAAATGATGTTACACACTATACAGAATCAAATATCACTATCATTATCCACCTAATTGATTCCTTGAAAGCAGTGTGGAATTCTAGAGGGATATTAAATTAACCAGTACACATAGCATATTGGAAAGCAGGACCTGGAAGGTTGGAAAGTCCAGGAACTTTCCACTTCCAGTCCATTTTATTATATACATTATACATATCCTATCACTTTTCAACTGTGATTGGTTTATGGGATTGTGATTTTAGCCCCTTCCAGCTTTCCAGCTGTGATTGGTTAATGAAGTTGTAATGTTATCTGCTTTCTAGCTGTGATTGGTTGATGGGGATGCTTTCCAGCTATGATTGGTTGTGCCCATAAGCCCCGCCCCCAAATATGGTATATGTACTACAATACTGGTTAACTAAATACTCAACTTAAACTTGATCATTACAAACAAAAAGCCTGGAAAAATTTCAAAAAATCCATTAAATAAAAGAAAAATAGAGAATATCTATCAAACAAGAGACATTCAAACAATTTTATAACAAATCTGAGTTACTATAGGTACAACTGAAACAGTTCATCCCCTTTTGATCCTCCTTTTCATTTACAGTCAGTCACCTGGCAGAGCACTGTATCTAAGGAAAGCATTCCACCTTGGGTGGAAAGCTTTTTTATAAGTGAACCTCCATTTCTAGAATTCCACCCTGCTTGAAAGTTTAACATGTATATATTACATACATGGGGGATGGCGTGGACCATGAAATATATCTACCATTCTACTTTTACTAGGGACTTAAACTTTCCTGCCATTTTTAGAGCTGCAAGATTTTGCTAGATCAATTATCTCCTATCAATAAAACTATATTCAGGCCAAAGGTTCCAAATGTTTCAAAAATTGGTTAACTTTTGAAGGGGCTGCCTGCTACCAGTAGGCTGGTTGCAACATGAGCTTCTTCAATCATCAATGCCAAAACAGTAATAAAATACTGACTTAATTTAGCAACCTGGAAATACATGTAGTGATGTAAGAGAATAAAGAGATGTAGAACAATAACTCCTAAATCAGTAAATGCAGAAAAATGGAGGGAAGGGATCTTGTGATTTATGAAGTTTTGAGTACGTGAGAGAAATTGAAGGCTTGAAACATTCCTGACTCCTGAGTAATCCCTACATACAAAGGAGGCAGTTTTGGCCAAGGGGGGGCAGACTGGCAGAACTAGCAGGTGTTTGGCAGAAACACCTGCTAGAACTAGAAGGTGTTTGCAAGGTTAGATGGTACAGCGTACTGCGTACAGGTCACACTGCCACAGCCACAATTGCCTGTGGCAGTGGGCAGGTTGTTTTGAGAGTTCAACTTTATATCATTACCAGAACCAGTGGGCACTGGGCAGTGAATACTACACCTTATCATTAGTCATTACTGCAGTCTACTTGTTAAACTCAAACTGATCAAGTTATGATAAAGGACAAGTCTAAAAATCACTGCTTTGCCGAGTGCTGACTAGAAATTTCATGAAGTAAGCAATGCCGATACTGGCGATACAGAGTTCAGTGGCAACTTTTGAGATTCCGAATCATAGTGGTATTTTAATGACCATGTTCCTTTGTAATTTAGGAGCACAGTAGCCAAAAATAGCAGAATGCTCATTCCATTAGTAGCGGGACAAAGTACCTACTGACTACTGTACCTCTGCTAAGGTCTGTAGCAAAAAAAAAATCTTCCCCATATTAAAAAATTTTTCTTACAGAAAAGTTGCACACAGGTGTTAGCTTAAAAATGTGATCGACAGAATTTGCATATCTCATTCCAAAAAAAAAAAAAAATGGCAGCCATTTCCGCATGACGGGGTAATAAAGGACACCCCTAGCCCTAGGCATAGTGACAAACCAGAGATTTTTTAGAATCAGTTCATTTTCAATTTCCTCATTTACTCAAGATTTAAACCAATTTCTTATGTATGATAATGCTGGTATCCATGATACTTTACACTATGGCCCTAGGGCCATAGTGGCAAAGCAGAGAGTTTTTTAGACTCTCCCTCAAGTTCATTTTTGAGTCCTATAAGTAGACCAATAAAGTATACTGGATACCAGCATTATCATACATAAGAAATTGGTTTAAATCTTGAGTAAATGAGGAAATTAAAAATGAACTGATTCTAAAAAAGCTCTGGTTTGCCACTATGCCTAGGGCTAGGGTAGGAATAAGGGACACAGTTAAAAATGCATTTACTATAGAACCTCAGCTAGCAAAGGTTCCAGTTAACTAAAAAATCAATTAACAACAAAAAATTATGATCACATTTACCTTGCTCAGCAAAAAAATTTCATTCAACAAAAAATTAATGCATCATAGGCCTAAGCTGCAGCCTGCAGCAGGTGGATCAGAGTGCTCTTGGTTACAATACAGTTGAATACACATTATACACTAAAACACATAATACAGCTTACGCATAACGCATCATATGACTTGCCAACGTCAATGCTACCAAGTCAATGACAGAATGACTAACATCGCCATTCGCCACACGGCCACTGTGCCACAGGGCACACTGCACAGGCCCAGCCCACAGCACTTATGACGCCGGTGGCCGGTCATCAAAAGAAACGATCTATTTTGCAAACAAAACTGAGCGGTCTGAGCCATTTAGCTCTCTAGCGCGATTATAACAGCAGTGAAGTTATTAAGGGTTAATCATAATAATCAAACCCTACAAATTGCACTTCTTTCTAGTATTTTTTTGTTTAATTGACGAGCTGTGAGTTAAGTGAATTTCTTAGGAAGTGGCGACTTGTGTCCAGGCTCCAGATTGCACTCACTGAGTGAGTTGAAGTTGACACTTGACGGTTCGGTTAGCTACTTCGGTAGTTCATGGCTAATCATGCTGGTGACGAATGACCATCTACCTACTTAGGTACTACTCGATACTCACTGTGCCTACTTTATATTATACCCAGCATCCTGGAGCAGGTAATGTTACAGCATGGTGCATTGGTGCTTTATCCGATTCTAAATAATTTCGTCACTTTGTAAATGATACGTGCTCTAAGTTAAAAATGACAACTTGAAGACGATATCGCGACCGCCGACCGTCGGCGCAGAAACAGTGTTGCTGGCTGCTGGCAAGTGCAAGCAGTCAGCTGGCTGAAACAGGGCTGCTCCTGCTCTAGCCCCTGGATGGTTCTTACTTCGAAACTCTGAGGAGCTACCACAAACGCTGCCAATTGTCTTAGTATAGTATAGTATGGTATCTTCGGCATTAAATAAATAGGCCTGTCGCCGATTCTTGTACTTTTCTTGACTAGACTGGCCTTACGGACGGTAGATTTAAAATCGCTTCTAGATATCAGATGTTCCGTAGGGTACGAGGCATTTTAAGACTGAACATATGCTCATGCATGGCCTTGTCCATAGTGACAAACCAGAGATTTTTTAGAATCAGTTCATTTTTAATTGCCTCATTTACTCAAGATTTTAATCAATTTCTCAAGTATGATAATGCTGGTATCCATGATACTTTACTGGTCTACTTATAGGACTCAAAAATGAACTTGAGACAGAGCCTAAAAAGCTCTCTGCTTTGCCACTATGGCCTTGTCTAGTCTGTTCTTGAACGCATTCATACTCGGAGCGTCAACAATATCTTCAGGGAGGCTGTTCCACATGTCAGTGACTCGAAGCGAGAAGAAATGTTGTCGCGTGGATAAGTTGAACCGCAGTTTTTTTAGTTTATAGCTGTGGCCCCTGGTGTTGGTTCTTGTTTCAAATTCTAGTAGGCTAATCCTTCTGGGACCTTGTACTGTTGTACAAACCATGAGTATACTTGTATACTTCAATGAGGTCACCACGCAGGCGACGATAACGGAGACTGGGAAGCTTCATAATCTTCAATCTTTCTTCATAAGACTTGCCCTTTAATCCTGGTATTAATTATCCTTGTTGCACGTCTTTGAACACTCTCAACTAAATTTTTGTCCTTTTCAAGTCTCTGTGACCACACAACATTTCCAAACTCTAGGTTTAAGTGCACGACACAGGTGAACAACAGCTTCATCATTTCTATATCTAGGTACTCGTAGGAGCGTCTGATCAGCCCAAGCAGTTTATTGGATGTATTAACTTGCGTTTCGATATGCCTATAAAATTTTAGCTCCCTGTCGACACAAACTCCGAGATCTTTTTCCACGCAAGACTTCTCAATCATAACCCTCTCGTTGCAACCGTGTCTTCTCATGCTGTAAGCTTGCTGTTCATTGTTCTTGCCGAGGTGAAGTACCTTACACTTGTCAGCATTAAAACGCAGCTGCCACGCATCAGCCCAGTCAACTAAATTATCAAGATCATTTTGCAGTTGCATTTTATTTGACGCATCCTTAACTGTATTATAAACTTTTGTGTCATCGGCATACATGGAACACACGCTTGACACTACTTCTGGTAGATCGTTTATAAAAGCGACGAATAAAACAGGTCCAAGAACGCTTCCTTGCGGTACACCACTTCGCACAGTTACCCAGTCTGATACGGTTCCGTTAATGCTGACACGTTGTCTTCTGCCTACTAGGAAATTACTGATCCATTGGAGTACATTTCCCTCTATTCCCAAAGAATTCACTTTACGTAACAGTCGCTCATGCGGAACACTATCAAATGCCTTGGCAAAATCAAGGTACAGTGCATCCACTTGCACCCTTTCATCCAGCAGGCGAGTCCAATTATTCAAGGTAGACAGGAGATTAGTGGTGCATGATCTGCCAGCAATAAAGCTATGCTGACAGT